CCAGCATCAACAGGAAACCTCCAAAATGTTGGGATTGAGCAACGTGTCGTTGGTCGGAGGTATGATGATTAGCGTTAACCTACAGAAGGCCTTCGACAGTGTTTCGCATACCGAGTTGTACCTCTTCTTGCTTGCGGCAGCGAATTGCAGCCACGTCCCGCCAATGCAGATTCCGGCGCCGCACCGACTGGTGGATGAGAACGTCATTCTTGGATTTCATTGCGTAGCAGTTGCCCGATCTCCTTTCCCGGAAATTGTTGACAACTGAGTACAAGCCAAATCCCTTTCCAAGTTCTTTAACGATGAATTAGAAGCTTTCATTGACTTTTTACCACTACGGTGTGTGCCGGTACCACGGAGGCGGTGGATATCCCTGGTTGACAACGCCGGCAGGTTCACCATAAAAGAAGCAATCCCTGTAAGACCGTTCCAACCGATAAGAACGGCAGACGCCACCGCGGCACCGGCTCCAATGCCCGGCGACCCGCGGTGACGGGCGGATCGCATACTGATCCGCAGCAAGGCACGCCACTCCTCCACTGTGGTGTTTTGCTCCCTGTGCAGCTCGTTTTCTATCCAGCCAGCAGCTTGTGCGGCTGCCCACATGATGGAAGGCTTTCATCGTGGACTTCTCCCTGCCCGCCGCGGCGATTTTGATCCGCAGATGTTTTCCTACTCCGGCATCTGTAAGAGCACGTTTCGCCTCCTGCTTCCTCTGGATGATGCCTCCCTGGGATTGCGAGCGCAGCCCGCTCTTCCCCTCCAGTCTGCTGGACTTTTGCACGCCGCATTGTGTCGTCTCCGCACGGCGGCCACCACCCGGGGTTGGGAGCTCAGTGCCGTTGTTGTGTTCTGGCTACGCGGCCCTCGGAAAATGGACTTCTACTTCCCTGCCCGCCTGTGGCGCCTTGCCCACTTCGATGCACGGGACGTTCGAGCTCAAGTTCTGATCAATCACTTAGTGGCACAGGAAGCTAATCAGGGGGGTTCTGCCCAACGGTGACCAACCGTGGTTTCGCCTCGGACACACGCGGGGGCAAGACGAGTGGCATGCGGCGGCCCATGCTTTCATCGAGCAGGGCGGACTTGGCCCGGGCATCCAAATCCCGTTCATTTCCAACGATCTTATGCCTCACCTTCATGAACCGGACCTGGACACTCTCCAGTACGGTTTTAACCGCCTCAAACCTTTGTATGGCGTGGGCCAGTTTCAATTGCTTTACCTACTACGGGAATCCCATTTTCCAACAAGTGGCAACGACATGCAGCGTAAGCTTGATGAATGGCCACCTGTTGAGGAGAGCCTCCAGTGACCTTGGACGCATGAAATGCTCAAGGTCCAACCTTTCGATATACGTCGACGGGTCACTCCACTGCCGATGGCCTGGACTTTGGACTTGTGGGTTCGGCGTGTCCGATCGGGACACAACAAACCGTTGGGTCGGTTCGACGGCACCTGGACTCATTAATTCCTCAAAGTCCAACCTTTCGACATACGTCGACGGGTCTTTCCACTTCCGATGGCCTGGACTTGGACTTGTGGACTTTAGTGAGCACGATCGGGACACAACAGGACCTCGGGGTCGTCCGTTGTTCGACGGAACTAGAACGGCGGCCGGAGCCTTGATTTGGGCTCCACTGACGGTCTTGGGCAACTTTGGGCGACGGCCTTCTGTTGTTGTTGAACGATCGCTGAGGACCCGTAGCATATGCTGAACGGTTAACCCCGGCAAAGCCTGGGCACCGCAGCTTGCTCCGCTTTCTACGACCGAGTGCTACAGCCGTAGTCGACGAGGCCCATGCAAGCCAACAAAAAGCAATTTTAAAAACGGGCACGTTTTTGTTGCGTTTAAGATCCCCAGAGCTGTTAAGAGCGGACCTCTGAACGATTTTATGCGGCCTTTGTGTGCTCTAAATTTCCTGTTTCTGCTTCTATTCGCTTTTACTGGTTATTCTGGTTCTTAGAGAGTGATCTTTCCAAACTGGATGCCTGTGCGGCGGGTCGTTGGTGTAGCAGTCTGGAAAGCACGGAATTGGGTCTCGAAATGAAGGAATTCGCGACTCCAAAATGGAGGCCACCAAACGGCTCAATTTTGGGGTTGGTTCCAGCCCTTCTAGTTCCTATTTAAAATACATTAGAGGAGGTTGACTGCATTGCGCGGTCCCTTTTTTGGGGCCGCGAGACGGCCCATTTTGGAAGTCGCAAGTTTGAGCCCTGCGCCCACGATTCCATCGAGTTCACTGGGTTTCAGTAGAAGCTTCAACTAAATCCAGGTTAAACCTGACATTCACTTTCTGCAAAACCCAATTCCAGTCCAGGTTTCGAAAACGGCCGAAACCTCAGATCAGATTTCAGGATGCATCTTCTCCTTTTTTTTTTTTCATTTTCTGTGATCGGAGTTATGGATTGCTGTTTAGCTGCGTCCTCTTGTTGCCACTTTGAGATGCATTTTCTGTCCAAAATCCTTAAGAAGTTCTCGCAGTTACGCAGGGTTCGAATTCAGAAACTACAGTTCGAACTCGACCACCTGTTCTTTTTCGCGAGTTGGCACCAGTTCGAATCTGGGTTTGTTTGGATTGAAACCTGGATTGCGATTTTTTTCTGAGCCAAAACACAGTTGCAACTTCAGCGTTCTGATAGTGAAATATGCAGGATGTCTGGAGCTTTGTTTCCGATCACAGTGCAAAAGGGGGGCAAACTTGCCTCCAATTTGATTTTTTAACCTCTTGCAGTGTGAATCTTCACCTCCTCCACCTTTTGCTTGAACTCTCACTTCTTACACTTTGAATCCTACCTGGTGAAATCTCGTCTTGCCACTTAACGCAATTTTGGCTTCGCTTGAGTGGCTCCCTCTTTTAAAACTCATCGGGGCCAAATGTGGAGACTCAGCGATTTCGCGTGGCATCTACTTTTGTGTTAAAGGCATCTGTTCACGTTCTTTTTGTTAATTTTTCGCTTGTACGGTGGGTTTGGAGTTGAAAGTTTTCGGTTTAGGCGGCGTCAAAGCTGCGGAGAGTTTGCAATTTACAAAAAACGGGGGGTTGGGGGGGCGCAGCCCCTGGACATGTATTTTCTTCGCTTTTGAACCCTCTTCGGCGATTTCGTGTGGCCTCTGCTTCTATGTTGAAAGAAGGCGTCTGTTTACGTTCTTTTTGTTCATTTTTCGCTTTGTACGGTGTGGAGTTTGGAGTTTAAGGTTCACGATACAAAAAGCGGGGGGTTGGGGGGGCAGCCCCTGGGCATGTATTTTCTTCGCTTTTGAACCTTCTTTAGGCGATTTCGTGTGGCATCTGCTTTTGTGTTGAAAGAAGGCATCTGTTCACGTTCTTTTTGTTAATTTTTGTCGCTTTGTGCGGTTTGGTTTTGGAGTTGACGGTTGACGGTGGCGGCTTCAAAGGCGCGGGGAGTTTGCAATTTGCAAGAAGCGGGGGGGTTGGGGGGGCGCAGCCCCTTCCCATTGAGCTTTTAAGACGGGCTTCGCTGAACGCTTTTATGTGGCCTTTGTGTGCCTCTGAATTTTCATGTTTCTGCTTCTGTTTTATTCGCTTTTAACCCCCTTAAACGATTTCGTGTCGAAGAAGGTCCTCCTTCAGGTCTCTTCCTCAGGCCTCCTTTAAGCCTTTCTTTAAACCAATCCTAGGCCGCCTTGAAGCCCTCCTGGGTTTAACCTGGGTTTGAACCTGGGTTTGAACCTGGGTTTTAACCTGGGTTAAACCTGGCTGCTTCAAACTTGGGTTCCACACCTGGGTTAGAACCTGGGTTTCAAACCTGGGTTCCAAATCTGGGTTAGAACCTGGGTTTCAAACCTGGGTTGGGTTTTAACCTGGGTTCCTTGACCTTGGGTTGCAAACCTGGGTTTTAACCTGGGTTTCAAACCTGGGTTCAAACCTGGGTTATAACCTGGGTTTAAACCTGGGTTAGAACCTGGGTTTCAAACCTGGGTTTGGAACCTGGGTTTAACCTGGGTTCATTAAACCCGGGTTCCAAACCTGGGTTAGAACCTGGGTTTCAAACCTGGGTTCAAACCTGGGTTCAAACCTGGGTTATAACCTGGGTTTAAACCTGGGTTTAACCCGGGGTTGAACCCAGGTTCGAACCCAGGTTAAACCAGGTTAAAACCCAGGTTCAAACCCAGGTTAAACCCAGGTTTCAAACCTGGGTTCCCGGGGTCGTTGTTGTTGTTCCTGAACCCAGGTTCAAACCTGGGTTAAACCCGGGGCGAGGGGGGGACCAGCCTCCTTTCTAGCCGCATCTGCCGACAGATTCAACACGGTCAAAAAGAGAGCTGATGTACTTGAGCAGTGCGAGTCAACCGTGAATCTCCACAGACTTGTGAAGCCTCAGTGTACGCAGTCTGGCTCCATCCAAATTTCCATGTAGGCCCATTTGTGACTTGACGGATGATTTGTTGCCTTTCAGGTTTTACCTCCTCCCAAAGTGTGTGATTTCGGAAGCTCTGGCTGTCTCGTCGTGAAGTCGACCTCAGCTTTGCCTCTTGGCTTGAATCAGGCTCCCCTTCTGCCTTCAGCCGCTAGTCCAGCCATTGCACAGACTTAGGCCATAATCTTCTTGTTTCTTCAGGTCCGCAGCCCACACAACAGCCTCGCCCGGCCGACAGCCTTGTTCAGCCGTTTCGGAAGCCCGGCCTTGCACAGCTTTCTGGCTTCCTTGTTTGCCGTCTAACACTCCGTCGTAACATGCGTCGGAGTATGTAGCCTCAATTCAATCAAGCATGCCTGATTCACCAACTTTTTACAAAGCCCAGTCGGAGGTTTTCATTTGCCCATGCAGCTGCCTTTAGGTGCATGGACCCCCTGTCTAGTCGCATCTGCCTACAGATCCAACACGCTTAATCAGAGAGCTGATGTGCTGGAGCAATGCGTGCCTACCTTAAACAGTTTCCGACTTTGTGATGCACGTTTAGAACACTTAGACACTGTTGGACAACATGAACGGACATAGGTAGCGGTAGAAGCGAAAGCTGCTGTACAGATCATCGATGGCGACTTGCAATTGGGTGCACAGGTGAACTGTGGTCAAACTCATGTGTGTGCTGCATGACACATGACCTTTCAGCACGTGGCCAGGCATGACAACAAAGCATTGTGCGAGGATGTGTGACGAAGCAGCCAACACGGTTGCGAAACCCTATTTCGTGTGTTTATGTTATAGCATATTCGTAAATTTGATACTTTCGTCCGGAGCTTGTTTGAGGATCAGCAGGTCTACTCCCCCATGTCTGTTCAGCTGGCCACGGGTGCTGAGTGAACAACGCGACACGTGGCCACTTTGGCTCATACCATGCAGACGTTTTTGGGAACCACAGAGTCCGCGTCTGTTTCCAGAGCGCATGCGATGGATCCGGTTCCTCGGCATAAGTCGTATTTTTTGATGTGGAGGCTGTGGCTTCGAACAGTTGGGGCACATAGTTATGGTTGTTGCAGCAGCTGTCATTGAGTTGATGGTGGCTGGTGCAACCAGAGACGACAGATGCTTCTTTCAGGTTTTCCATTTGAAACATGGTGTTTCGAAGCTGTCCGATGTTTAGCATCGTATTTCGAAGCCATCACAACGTCTAGCAGCTAGCATTTGCAGCTGGCTGTTGCTTTCGCGTCGATGAGGAAGATGATGAAGAGAAGGAGGACGTGAACTCTGCCAAAAAGCCACTTCGACGCACGAGTTCTTTTGTTGGTAGGAAGTCTAGATGTATGTGGGGAAGCTTGCAATGTCAAGCTGCAAGCTTTGACTGCAAAGCTTTTCTTGACCAAGGGAGGACCCGGACCTCGTCGAGGGGCAGCAGATCAAAGTCGCAGCCTGGGAAGCAAAAGGTTGAAAGGCATTGGTGCACACCGTTTTCTGTGTTCGGCATTGTGATAAATTGCGATCATCAGATGTGTGTGCTTCAGTTTGGGTCTTTTGACTTGGCTGGCCGCTAGCCTGCTTCTGTGGCCCCCAGGATGCCGACCGGAACTCCAAGAGCCCGGAGAAAGAGAAAGAGGCTTCGGGCCCCGCCTTCGCAGATTCTCCCAATCTTTGTAGTTGTGCTCAAACATCAAGCCCTTGGAGGAGGATGCTGCCAGCCAAAAGTCAGGAAAGAGCCAGGACAAAGACCTAAGCTTTGAACTTCGGGAGATCTCGGCTTTCGGAGGTTGCAGCACGTTCACAACTTGATTCTCCACCCGCCAAGCTTCAGCCTGAGACCCCGCGAGACCTCGAAGCCTTGAAGTCTCAGCCTCAAGCTATCGGCCTCGGGATTGTGCGGAGACAGCGCGATTGCAAGTCCCGTGCGTCGTGTGTTTTTTTTGACTTCTGTATGGCTGAGAGACTGGAGGAAGACAAGAGGGCTGGAGTTGCTGTGAGTTCGCCTTAGAATCTGCCAAGTTGCCGCTGCAGGACCGGAAAGATCGGGTGCCTGCCCCAACTTTACCGCCTTCCGTTCTGGACTGCTTTACCGGTTTGCGTGGGAGGACCGAAGTCGTAGCCGCGGCAAGGACTGCGTCTTCTTCTCTGTCGAGGGATCACAGATTTGAATGGCGGAGTGCGGATGGAGACGGCAGAATCGCCCGCTGCATCAGGACCGAAGAGATCGGGTCCCTGCCCTAACCAAATGCGAACCGTTCGTTCTGTTGGTGCTGAATTTGCCACTAGCTTGCAGAAGCCAAGGACCGAAGCCGCAGCCGCGGCAAGGACTGCTCGTCCCAGCTGCCTTTGCCACAAAAAAGAACAGCACGTGAAATGTCATGTGCGGGTTGAGAGGACAGAAGTCGTAGCCGCGGCAAAGACAGAGAGAGAAGGTGCTCGTCTTTGTCCTTTTTGATTCGGGTGCCGGGGCACAAGACACGGATATGTGTGTGGCGAATGCTCGATGCTTTGTTGAGTCCGCCAAAGGTGCCTGAATCCCACTCATCGTTGCAATTGCTCTTCGGACAGCAGTGTAGCCAGTTTCTGTCGCAGGCGGGAAGATCGAAAGACCCTGGCCATCTCCAACCTCAGTCGAAATGCAGCTTCGCCTGAATTGGCAAGCTGTTGGCATCATAGCTGTTGCTACTGCCAAGCATTTTGTATCTTCATGCGAGTCCGACTTGTACAGCTTGTTCGTGCTTGCAGGCGATATGAGCAATGTGCTTTGCAGGTGAATGAAGACCATCTCAAAGAGATCTTCGGAAACTATGGCAAGGCCGGAGAGTTCAACCCGATATCCCTTGTGCTAAACACCGTCCGACGTGTTTGTCAGGTCAAGGAGGCAACCTTAGCCATCGACAAGGCAGCCGGTCTTCCCAAGGGTTTCGAACTCAGCTGATTGCTTGTGCACCGCTCAGCCCAGATCCAAAGACTCTTGGCTGACCGGCCCCCTCCCACGCACTGCTTCAAGTGCGCCGTTCCAGAGGCTATGCCTATGTCGAGTTCTACGAGGAAAGAGATGCCCGTGACTGAATCGGAGTTGCAGAGTCTCAGCGCAGCTGCTAGTCAGCAGAATTGGGCTTCATTTCGAGGCTGATCGGGCCATTTCCCACATGAACAGCGGGCAGATCGATGGGAATGTCATAAGAGCCCCAAGCTTGATCAGTTTCTATTGGATTCTAGCTCTGCCGTGGTGTTGGAACCGTTAGTTCGAGCTGGCTGCTGACAGGTCGAGCACCAGGCTGACCGAAAGCGAAGGCCGTCAACAGCTGCTTGAAGGCGTGGCGTGGCCCACCCAAAAGCCAGGCTGGAGCATGCACCAGCCATTCCGATGCGGCCGCGAGTTCAAGCCTCGGAAAAAGTGCAGTGTCGAGAGCCATAGGCATGAGAGGTCTTGAGCAAAAAGAATGCCCATCTGTAAAAAACCAAAGGGCTTGAATTGCTAGAAAGACTTGGTGGCATTCAGGTGCCGCGAACGGCTCCTGTGGCGTGGGACTTAAACTTTATCCACTCCAGCGGGCCGTGGCTACGAGAGGGCACCTGCATGTCTGTCGCAGCTGATGTACGGCAACGGATTCCCGAGTCCCGCCTGTGAGGCGCAAGTCCGTCAGGAACGAGAGCCACGCGTCGAGAAGCGCGAGCAGCATGAGCGTGAACGAGACCGCGATCGGGAGCCGTCCGCTTTAGGTTTTGGCCGAGAGGGTCCTTCTTTTCGAGGTGTCGCTTCTGACGAGACCTAAGCTAGGCCAACCTTGCAGGACCGAGATCGTGACCGTGAGCGCCGAGCTGAGGCAACCAAGAGGCGACTCGGAAGTCGCTTGCCTTTCAACCCTTGCGATCATGGCACCCGGTGCCCCTTGCGACCCCTGTCACTAAAACTCCAAAACAATCGCGGCCAGGGAGGATCGCAGCGGCCGAGTCGCCCCCTTAAACGAAAGCATTGCTGATCTTTTCTGTCACAGTCGTGGTTTTGGGCGATGTCATTTACTGTTAACAAGGACCGGGATCGGGATCGAGATCGTGACCGTAATCGGGAGAAGAGCTGAGATGTAGTTTGTCAATGTCACCTCTTGCTTGGATTCTTGCTGTCCGTTGCTGCAGTCATGAGCTTCGACTCTGCCAGTCTTTCGCGTTGTCTGGAGTCTGGATGTTCCTAAAAAGTCCGAGGATCGGGACCGAGATCGAGAGAAAGAAAAGGAGCGTGCCAAGGCGCCCAGCCAGCGGGGTCGAGCATGTAATCCTGCCGTTTGTACAGACGGAAGCTGTTGGAGCGCATGCAGCCCTTCTCCTTGTGCCTAGAGCTCCAAATCTGGATCGCGACTTTCTTTCCATCTATCGCCAAGACCAGGAGAAGGAGCGTGAGAAAGAAAAAGAGAAGGAAAAGGCTGGTTATCTCGCAACGTGCAATGTGACGGCTCTTTTCATGCGTGTTCTGAAAAGTTGGGGGCACTCTGTCGGAGGAGAGAGAACGAGAAAGGGCCAAGGCCTGTGGGGCCTGGCACGACCACAGGGGGGGCGAAAAGTGCTTTCGGAGGACGTGCTTTCGTGCCTTCTAAACGGCGAGGCTCGCAGAAAGGCCGACGAGTCTGACTCCGAGGACTCCGAGGAGGACTCGATCCCCAAGGCGGCGGATTGAACGGGACTGGTGACCGTCTGTACTGTGTGCTTATGTGTGCTGGTGACAGGCGAAAGCCAAGAAGCCGGCCCCGAAAAAGGAAGACAAGGAAGACAAAAAAGATGAGAAGAAGGAAGAGAAGAAGGACTCTGTTCCAGCAACCAATCCATCCTCATCCAAAGCAGCCATGTGGCCTGGACATGCTGAGGAGACCAAAGCGCCGGCAAAGACCAAAGCGAAGGAGAGCTGTACTTCCGTGAGCCTGCGTTGATCGCGGAGACAGCTGAATCCGCTGCTGCCGAGGACACGGAAGATAAGAAAAAGCCCGCGGTGAAAAAGAAGAAGGAGGACGCCGAGATACCGTGCACTCCGAAGAGCGTTTCTGTCGAACGGGATCAGTCCACTTGGAGTTTCACAGGCAGATGCCGAAGAGAAGCCGAAGGTGAAGTCGAAGGCTCGTCATGGCCGTCTCCTACTTGACTGCTGGTTGTCGAGCCAAAGAGATGCATGTGTGACTCCACTGCCGACGTGAGACCGCGGAAAAGCCAAAGACGAAAGATAAAGACGAAAAAGCCAAGGCGAGACGCGAGAAAGCCGCAGCATGATGGAAGAGTGTCCTGCCACCGACGTCTCTCTGGAAGGCCAAGCCAAAGGCCAAAGAAAAGGAAGAAAAAGCTAAGGTCCTTTCGACATATCCGTGGTGTAAATCTTGATGACTAGATGTTGAATGCATTGCTTGGAAACATGGGACGTGACGGGACCGTGCTGGACTCAACCCTGCGTCATGTAGAAAGACACAGCAGATTGAAGCGCGTGCAGGTGACAGAGAAGCCCAAAGCCACCAAAACGAAGGCCAAGGAGCCGGAGAAATCCGAGAAGGCTTTCCGATGCCATGAGCAAAGTTCCAGTGTTGAATCATCACGACCTGTTCGCAGCAGAGGGGCTTCTTCTTGGCCCCTCGGACAGTAGCCATGTCGGTGCCCGGAGGGTGGCGGAGGGTCCCCCAAAGACCTCGGGCCGTTGACTCGGAATAAGTTTGCACACGTAAACCCGTCGAAATGGTCAGATGCCGGGCTGCCATTCAAGCGAAGGGGGCTCTGCTGGGCTGATCCACGGTGTGTTCATCAGGATCGCTGTGCTGCTCTTGCAGATCGGCGCTTTTGCCACGAGGCCGAGAAGGCTGAGAAGGTGAAGAAGACAGACAAGGCCAAGGCTCAGGCCTGCGGCTCCCACGGCGGCCACATCACTGCGCGCCGTGCTCTCAGACTTCGCAGGCCGGCGAGGCGGCCAAGAAGGCCGTGAAGGCCTCTTGCTTCCCTCTTGTGCTTCTGTGTCTGCCGGGATCCTCCAGCCTCCAGCCTCCAGCCGCCGGGTTTAGAGGCCACCATCTCAAAGGAGAAGAAGCCTGCCACGAAGGATGCAAAGGACCCGAAGGCGAAGGCCAAAGGCACGCCGGGAGTGCTGTGATCGCGGAGCCGTGTTGCCTCCTGCCTCGAGTGGCTACTGCAGGCAAGGCAAAAACAAAGAAGAAGCAGCCGGCATCTGTGTTGAGTGCACATCGTGTCTCTCCGACTCATGTTTTCTTTCTCTCTCTCTCTGCCCACCAGTGTGCTTGTCTGGGTTATTGTTTCCGGGTGAGCTGGGCTGCCAGACCTGCCCAGGTCGAGTGAGAGCGAATCCTCGAGCAGCGCAATTGCCTCAAGAAGTCAATGATGTGACAGTGACAGCAGCGCGGTTTCCTTGTTGAGGTTCTGTTTTGTTCGCATCGTCAGGGCTCCGAGTCTGGCAGTGGCTCTGAATCTTCGTCGTCCGCGCCCCCTCAGAAGAGGCCAGGGGTTGGGGGTTCCGTGTCCCCAAGAGACCTGGCGGATCAAGAGTGCCCTCATGTGGCAACTGTGTGAGTTTGGGAGACGCTACCTACAGTTGCAGATGTGTGTGTCTGCTGTGGGCATTGGCTGCCGCAGGCGAGTATGAAATGAGCAGGTTAGCAAGAGCAGCCGCTGAAGCCTCACCTGCAAAAGAGACGTTGCCTTAGAGCTTTTCTGCATGTGGGAGTGCTAGAGCAGTGCTACACAGCATCACGGGTTTGCTGCTTGCCGGTGTTGATAGTGTCGAACCCCAAAATGAGCAATGTATGAATCCAATAGCATCATGGGACCTAATTTCGCCCGGCTGTGCTATCAAGCAGTGCCTTGCACAATTGCCTCATCACTTAGCTGGTCACGTTGGTCCTGCTCCCAGCCATGAACATGCGACTTGACCGATCACATCCAGGCGCCGCTTTCCATAGCTTGGGCCACATTCTGGCGAATACCATGCGGCTTCTACTCCTGGAAGCTGCACAAATTTAGAATCTAGCAGTTCCTCGCTCAGATGGCATCAAACTTCCACATGAAGTCAATCTTGCATAACTGATGGTATGGCTGCGGGCATCTAGTGCATTCTTGAAGTTTCTTGGAACCTGAAGTTGTTGTGGAATGCACAGATAACGCAAAGCTTGACGAGATGTTCAGCGATTGGACAGAGGCGCGGTTGCTGCCATCTGTTGCATCCTTGGATGGAACCTGAAGTTGTTGTGGGATGCACAGATTGCGGCAACCGTGCAGGTATGTGAAGCTTCTCAGAAATTGACGAGATGTTCAGCGATTGGACAGAGGCGCGGTTGCTGCCATCTGTTGCATCCTTGGATGGAACCTGAAGTTGTTGTGGGATGCACAGATTGCGGCAACCGTGCAGGGATGTGAAGCTTCTCAGAAGTTGACGAGATGTTCAGCGATTGGACAGAGGCGCGGTTGCTGCCATCTGTTGCATCCTTGGATGGAACCTGAAGTTGTTGTGGGATGCACAGATTGCGGCATCCGTGCAGGTATGTGAAGCTTCTCAGAAGTTGACGAGACGTTCAGCGATTGGACAGAGGCGCGGTTGCTGCCATCTGTTGCATCCTTGGATGGAACCTGAAGTTGTTGTGAGATGCACAGATTGCGGCAACCGTGCAGGTATGTGAAGCTTCTCAGAAGTTGACGAGATGTTCAGCGATTGGACAGAGGCGCGGTTGCTGCTATCTGTTGCATCCTTGGACTTGGAATCTGAAGTTGTTGTGGGATGTACAGATTGCGGCAACCGTGTAGGGATGTGAAGCTTCTCAGAAGTTGACGAGATGTTCAGCAACTGGACAGAGGCACGGTTGCTGCCGTCTGTTGCATCCTTGGATGGAACCTGAAGTTGTTGTGGGATGTACAGATTGCGGCAACCGTGCAGGCATGTGAAGCTTCTCAGAAGTTGACGAGATGTTCAGCGATTGGACAGAGGCGCGGTTGCTGCCATCTGTTGCATCCTTGGATGGAACCTGAAGTTGTTGTGGGATGCACAGATTGCGGCAACCGTGCAGGTATGTGAAGCTTCTCAGAAGTTGACGAGATGTTCAGCGATTGGACAGAGGCGCGGTTGCTGCCATTTGTTGCATCCTTGGACTTGGAACCTGAAGTTGTTGTGGGATGCACAGATTGCGGCAACCGTGCAGGTATGTGAAGCTTCTCAGAAGTTGACGAGATGTTCAGCGATTGGACAGAGGCGCGGTTGCTGCCATCTGTTGCATCCTTGGACTTGGAACCTGAAGTTGTTGTGGGATGTACAGATTGCGGCAACCGTGCAGGGATGTGAAGCTTCTCAGAAGTTGACGAGATGTTCAGCAACTGGACAGAGGCGCGGTTGCTGCCATCTGTTGCATCCTTGGACTTGGAACCTGAAGTTGTTGTGGGATGTACAGATTGCGGCAACCGTGCAGGGATGTGAAGCTTCTCAGAAGTTGACGAGATGTTCAGCAACTGGACAGAGGCACGGTTGCTGCCATCTGTTGCATCCTTGGATGGAACCTGAAGTTGTTGTGGGATGCACAGATTGCGGCAACCGTGCAGGTATGTGAAGCTTCTCAGAAGTTGACGAGATGTTCAGCGATTGGACAGAGGCGCGGTTGCTGCCATCTGTTGCATCCTTGGACTTGGAACCTGAAGTTGTTGTGAGATGCACAGATTGCGGCAACCGTGCAGGTATGTGAAGCTTCTCAGAAGTTGACGAGATGTTCAGCAACTGGACAGAGGCGCGGTTGCTGCCATCTGTTGCATCCTTGGACTTGGAACCTGAAGTTGTTGTGGGATGTACAGATTGCGGCATCCGTGCAGGTATGTGAAGCTTCTCAGAAGTTGACGAGATGTTCGGCGATTGGACAGAGGCGCGGCTGCTGCCGTCTGTTGCATCCTGGGACTTGGAACCTGAAGTTGTTGTGGGATGCACAGATTGCGGCAACCGTGCAGGTATGTGAAGCTTCTCAGAAGTTGACGAGATGTTCAGCGATTGGACGGAGGCGCGGTTGCTGCCATCTGTTGCATCCTTGGACTTGGAACCTGAAGTTGTTGTGAGATGCACAGATTGCGGCAACCGTGCAGGTATGTGAAGCTTCTCAGAAGTTGACGAGATGTTCAGCAACTGGACAGAGGCGCGGTTGCTGCTATCTGTTGCATCCTTGGACTTGGAACCTGAAGTTGTTGTGGGATGCCCAGATTGCGGCAACCGCGCCGTGCCGTGCAGGTAGGCCTTGGATTCCTGAATCCTGATTATCAGGAATCCGCACAAGATGCCAACATGTTAGTAAAAGCTCGGGCAACTGGGTGGACAGTTGACGACGTTGCACTGGTGGGAGAAATCAGAGCGCTCAACGAGCCGAGCCATGCGAAAGCATGTAACATCATGTAGCAATCCCGCGTTGGGGTTGCAAGCATGAGCCCTTGGCAGGCACCCATGGCAGCCACACAGAACTAATCGTCTCATTCATCACTTCCTTCCATGTGGCCGCTTCATTCCCAGCTTTGTATGATCACAGTTTGGAGCGCGATGGTCTTTAGCTTTTGACGATACGTGCACTACAGTAGCTTGCCGGAAGTAGAAGTGCTGCAGCTTGCAGATGCAATTTCCGAAAATCGTCAGGAGCTGCTGCGGTGATTCCCTTGCGGCACGAAGAAGTTAAGCAAGTGAGGTGTCCTTGACAACGTCGAGCAGCTATTTGCAGAGTGGTTCCGGTGCCCCTGTTTCAATACTAAGTTCATGGAGGTGACTTGGTTTGAACACACCCTGCATACAAAGCACGGCAGATTGCCCTTGTCAGTTCGGTCGTGATTCAGATCAGAAAGCCATGGAACAAGCCAGACCGAAGCGGCGGTGGAAGAGCCAAGCGGCCCATGACACGATCTCTGCCCCGATGGATTTGGGTGGCTATACCAGCCCTGACCCTCAAGGCCTTGCGGACCAATCAGCAGAAACAGGCGAGACTCTCCACCCTTCTGTCCCTTGAAAACGCTGAGGTGAAGCTGAGCACTCTGTGAAAGAGTCCTCAGCAAGCACGACGTCGAGCACGAGGAGCATGCGGTCCGTCTGCGTCATCGGAGGGGGGCCAAGTGGCTTGGGCTGTTGTCGAAGGCTTTGCGATGCTGGCCTCGGCCTGCAGGTGACCTTGGTCCAGGAAAGCCGTGGTCTTGGCGGAAAGCTTTGCACCAAGTTTGTGAATGGCAAGGATGATCCAACCCTTCACTTTGATATGGGCGTGCAGCTGCTGCGGCCGGCAGGGCCACTTGCAGACGACTTGGAAGGCATCGTACAGCCCTGGCCACAGCCAGGACGCTTCAAACGTGTCCTTTGCAAGGGTGACTGGAGCCAGTGGAATATCACATCCTCCAGCGATGTCTCGGTGGACGGACTTGTTGTTGGGGTTCCATCAATGTCTGCCATAGGGCGTGCTTTGGCCGACAAGTGCTGCAATCTTGAGATCCATGTTGATCGAACAGCTCATGTAATTGGACGCTCGCCCAAGACGGGGCGTTGGGGCGTGGAGTGGAGCCGAGCAGAAGCTAACGCTGGGCAACTGCGATATCGCCCTGAGTTAGCCCAGGGTGCGACAGAGGCCGAGTCCAGAAGCTTTGATGCGGTAGTGCTGGCATTCGAGGCCAACAAGATCCTGCAAGGCTGCAAATCTGGATACAAACAAGTTGCTCCGTCTGTGACGCCAACGCTGCGCAAGCAGCTATCAGGCCGCACCAAGACATCGCAGCTCTGGAACCTAATGGTCGCCTTTGATCGTGAGCTGCCGATGCCCTGGGATGCCGCAACAGTTGAGGGACATGGTTCACTGGCTTGGGTTGCTGTCAACAGCTCCAAGCCCGAACGGGCCCGTGTTCCACAATGCTTCATGATATTTTCTACGAACTCTTGGGCCGCATGGAAACAGTGGTCCAAGAAGGAGGTCGAGCGTGTGCTGCTCCACGACTTCCTTTCTTTTCTGGAACAGGTCTTGGGTTTCTGGCCTCCTCAACCGTCCTTCGTACTGAGTGGACGCTGGGGAAACAATACTGAGGCACAGGCTGTTCGCCCTCTTTCCCCGCCCTGTAGCTTGGCCACATGGCCGATCAGGACAGCAGGAC